ACAACAGCAGCAGCAACAGCAGCAGCAGCATTACCACGTTGCCCCGCAGCACTTGCTGCATCACCATGTCATGCATCATCACCATCACCCTGTGAGTTTTGAAAACTTTTTTAAAATTCACTGAGCTTGAATATGCATGAAAAAAAATTGTGCTTCAAGTTACTGTCAAGTTTACGTCCGATTCCTGCGTTACCGTCAAAATTTCCTTTGCGATTACCACGCAAAAATTTAAATTCACTTCGCGATTATCACGCGAAAATTATAATTTATTTTGCGATCATCCGACGAAAATCGTAGTTTACTTCGAGATCGTACAATATCTACGTGAATCTCTCAAAAATCGTTCGTTCGTTCCTATCCACCCTTTTCCGTCGCCACGAATGAAATAAGTATTTCTTTGTTGAATTTTTTATCCCCAGAATGGACTACAGATTCCTGAAAGATTAAACTTTATTTTAATGCGGCATGAGGAACACAACTTATGATTCGCTCTTCGAACGGAAATAATTCTTTTTGGTTAAGATTAACTCCAGATCAGTGGCTAATTTTTTGAAGGATGAGGACCGTTAAAGGAAAGAAGTCACTGAATTTTTAGAAAAGATCCTCATAAGGCAAAGTAAGGCCTTGGGTGGGGGAAAAGCAATTCGTGTGATTCCTGTTCACGGAATTCAAATCGGTTTCTGAATAATCAGTAAGATAGGCTTCATCAAGTGGAAAAAGCAAATTTCTTCGGTTTGAAGTAGACTGTTGGTTATTGGGTTTCGAATGCCGAGTTAAGATTCGGATAAAATGGAGAATTCGGTCAATTCAGGTTAGATCGGATTGATTTTTCTCACATTACCGATTCAAATGACACCAGCATGTCCAAAATTTCTGAAAGCGCGTTCGGGTGTTGAGCTGGAAAGAAACGAAAGTATCAATTTTACGATATATTTTTGTGGTTATTGAGTTCATAATCATAACTTGGTCTTTCGAAATTCACGCTGTCTCACCAGTTCTTGGCGCCAGACTGATGATTGGCGTGCTGAAACGGGTCAAGGATGGCCGAGGGGGGTTCATTTAAGAAATCTGGAGATGAAATTGGGAATCTTGAGCCTATTTTTTTCTTCTTGCCTATAGCCAGTGATTCATCGAGGCATAAATCTAGCCTTCTCAGCATTTATGTAGCGATTATATCTCTCTTCGCGATCTTCGCTCTGAAAGTAATTCCAGTTAATGGTATCGCAGCGTTAGAGCGAAAAAAATTTCTGATCTGACTTCCATGGAGTTCGAAACCACAAGCTCTTTTTTTTTTGCGGTACGGAATTCATCCTTGAAAACGTCTAGTTTTTAAAACTTCGATCAACACGCAGTTATTTCCTGCATAATTTCGACCAGTTCAATCTCGACCTGATCGGTTCAGATGGTGTCGCAACGCGGCAGGCAATTAACTGCGAAGGGGATTTGAAAAGGAGAATTATAAATTTCACTGTTGCATTCACGGAGACGGATCAAGGCTCAAATCGTTGCTAAAAAAAAGTCTGACTTGATCTCGCAATAATTCATTTTATTTCTATTTTTTATGTTCTTCAGGTTTATGGAGCAGCAAGAGCCACGAGCCCTTGGAACCATACTTACAGTGAGATTGACGGGAAAAGAGTGTTTGATGGACAAGACCCTGTTTATGCCGAGATTGACCACGAACACGAGCAACAGTTGATTTTGGGTGGACTGCACCCGCATCACCAGGCGCTGTTGATGCACCGGCAGCAACAGCAGCAAGCCGGCGTGGATTTTGGCAGGCAAATCCACGACCCGAACTTGATCGCTACCATTAGGTAAATTCCTCATTCCTGGATTCCTCTCCCTGTTTTTTTTTTCTCCTCAACAAGTGCTGTGACCATATATAGTACAGTGCCCTTGGTCCTCAGTGGGGCATCCCCGAAATGTTAATGTGCTGTGAGCGATTCGCGCTTACATGCAATGAAATTTTCCGACGTTTTCCATAATGATGACAGGTCTTTTTTTTTACTAGGAGATAGCTGTGGTTTTCTGGGCCTTGAATTGCTTCGTAAATGCAGTATCCATCCCAAATTTCATCAGCTTCTGAAGTTTTTAATCTGCTCACACTCTTGAATCTTGTTGTAACACCGCGAATGAGCGACCTCTAGCGTACCTTCCGCGAAGTTAATAGTCGAACGTCTTCATGTTGAATTTCAAGGAACAAAAAAAATTCGAGTTGGGAGGTTTTGAATTATCGAAACAAGCATTTATTTTGTGGGAAAGATTACCGTAATTGTAAATTGTGATGTTTTGGGCTTTGAATTGCTTCTTCAATCTTGAGTGAGTTAAGATGATGCTGAACTGGGTGGCAAGGGTTCATTTGCACAATTAGTCTCTCATTTACTTTCAAAACACATCGAATTATTATTTTTTTATTGATTTTCTCTTTCTCATGTCAATAAAATAATAGGAGAGAGGCCCCCAAAAGTTTGGAGTTTTGAGTTGAAGATGTTTTTAGTGCACCGTTTTTTTTAAGGGAATTCGAAGTAGGACTTGAAAAATATTCAACTTCGGGACGTATTCGAGTTATCGAGGTTCAACTGACAAATTTGTTGAAATGCAATTTATTGAAGCGAGAGTTTGCAGTGAGTCGAATAATCCATATGCCGGGGTTTCTGTTTTGGGGTCTCCTTGTATATGCATATCATTGCTGGAGGTAATTTTCCAAAATTAGCTAAATGGACGGGAAAATGAAGAAGGCGAGGCCAAAGAATTGTTCTCACAGGTCTTACAATTATTTGTTTTTGTCATTCCGCCTGATATCAATTTCCCTGAAACCCGGCTATTTTAGCATCCCATGTCCGCATGTCGAGTCAGTTTCTGCATCTGGGAGTCTCACACTACACGGTATACAGATCTCGTGGATAATTAATCTCAAAAAAAAACAAAGGAGAGAGCCGTCCTTACGCTACTTCAGAGGAAGCGGCGTGTTTGCGTGTCCTTACGCGGTTTCGGAGTTCAATAGAGGCCCTTATCACGGTAGTTGGTACAGCCTCGTGCGCTGCCGGAGCAACACGCCGAGCGCACTTAGCGACGCGGAGAAATTAGCGCTGGCTAATGACCACGCAATCACCTCGTCTCCCATGCATAGGATAAACGTGATCGACACTCTCGTTAGTCAAATTTGAGTGCCCATCAAGAGAGAGAGACGCGGAGGAAGCGAAGGAGAAAAGGCATCGCGTTTTTATGATCCTTTTGTCGGAAGTGAGTTATTTGCGCGATTCGTCGTGGGCTGTGATCGACACCGTTTTTTTGTTTGTTTGTTTGTCTGTCGATGAATTTTTTTTTTTGTGGCGAGGATAATAACTTTTTGAAAGTTTACCACAGGTCTCTGAACTGAGAAAACGAGAGATTTCTGTTGGATTAAAAAAAAAAGTATGAAAGATATGATGAACCGGAGCTTCGGCTGACTTTTGCTTCCGGAAAGGACGCGCGATTTTTTTTGTTTTTGGTTTCATGGAAATTTGAGTGTTTTCTCAGGTGCTGTGATACGTTTGGATTTGGCGAAATTTTTGGTATGCGTGATGATCATGATGATTTATTTCCGTGGTTGATATGTTCTCGTTTTTTTTTATTCGTCTCCCGTTTTCTTTTTTTTTTTCACGTCATGAACTGTGGGCAAAAGTGATTTCCATGGGCTCGACTAAACGGATCGAAAGTCGAGTTAATGTGCTTCTTGGATTTGCAGAAGCGAATGAAAAAAGGCCAACACGTGCCATTGCTTTCTGATGTTCGGTATGTCATGGTTTCTTGCCGATGAGGAAATAAAAACTGCTTGCATCAAAAAAATCCAGGCTTGCATTTTCGTTTTTGTTGGGAGGGTTTTTTCGGGGAAGTAAAACCCGCGTGAAACTTCGTGGCGATGCCTACGATTTCAAGGATAAAGATTGCTTTGAAATAATTTCATGAGATTGTTGGGTTTTTGGAAACATGAGCTGCTGAAATTATTAATGAAAGTCTTTTGCCATGCCCAATCTGAAAAGTATTCGTTACTAGATGTTTGAAATTTGTACTGCACTTCATTTGACTTGAGTATTACGTCATTCACGTGTCCTCCAGTAATAGTAAGGCATGCACTTTTTGGGAATTTGTCCGAAAGACTATCCCAACTTAAAACCGTAACCCCAGTTATTTTCGGTAGAAAATCGAAACCTTGTTACAAATGATGCGTAACAAAATACAGTACTCATGTAATAAAATAAAATGAAATGCAGAATTGCAACAGGCATGGACCCAAGCATAATTTAATTTCCACTACTGTACAGTATTTCAAGTTCAAGGACTCGCTTAAAAATTTGTACAGTACCAGTAGTCTAATTTTTTTTTTATTTCCTTACAGCCATCTGCACCTGACTCCTTTGATTTTCAAGGAAAAATTTTGCACATAGCACCAGTGAAAACATTGTATAAAAAATGTCTTTGATCCTCTGAAAGATTTTCCTCCAGGTTGAGCCTATTGTTTCTCCGCTCTCATGACCCAAGGATAAATCTGAGGAATCTTCAGTGATGTCAGGCTACTGATGATTAATGGGCATTACTGCAAACGATTTTTTCCGCTTAATAGCTTTCAGATGCATTAGAAATTTGATAAAGAGCGATTGATGGATTGAAAAATAGAGGAATAAACGGGAAGTAAAATACAGTACGAGTTATTTTAATTAAATTGTTTGGTTACCAACTTAGATCTTCGTCTACATTCTATTGTATCTAGTCGCACGAATTTTACTTTTGCAATTGTGTTACCTTTTTTTTAAGGAAATTATTTATGCACAGAAACCTTCAAAGAGATCATTAAATCTCCCGAGTGCCATACATACTTCTATAGTTGAATACTGTGAAAGCTGAAAATGAATTAATCAGACTTGTTGCAAACATCTGGAATCTTCTAGGTTCGCTAATAATTTTATCAGGTCAAGGATGCTTTTTTCGTAATGGAATCAGAATCCAGTAACTCAAGATTTTGGAATCAATCCGGCATTCATCAATCTCTTTTATTTCTCGATTTTCGCTCATTGGACACTCGTTCCTTAGATGCAAACAATGCATTTTTCAGTCGAATCAAACAGAAAACGAACACTACGAAGAAGAAAACAAATAACAGAATTAAACCCATGAACACATGCACTGAGTACATTTCAAACCACGACAAATTCCTGGTGGGTGATCTGAGGCCGGTGTCGTACCCATTCCTCAAGACGTATTCTGTCCAGAAAACGCCTCTTTCCAGAGGTGTCATCGGTTGGTCTCGGAATAGTCTCGACCGTCGTTTGACACTTCCCAAAATTCTGCAAACAATTTGGACAGATCATCTCCGTTATTTCATGGAAGATTACCGACACGTCGCAACATTTTCGAGTATAGCAGTCACGAACTCGGAATAAGGCACCACTTTTTGAAAAAGAATAGCTGTGAAGATTTAGATGAAGAGTTACAATTTATAGTTATACGTATTGAGACGCATCTCTTTAAATTCATTTAGGACTTGTTTGGTGGGAAAAGGGTCTTACATGCTGTAATATTTTCTTCTGATACAAATAACTGAAGACTTGTGATGACCCCTTGTAACACTCTTTGGTGAAATTGAAGAGACAATTTTGAATGCTCTTTTCTGATATTGAACCCGTATTGCTTCAAATTACCTTTTACCGTTCTGATCTTCAAAAATAAAGCAAAACGAAAGCATATGCATAAAGGTTAATTAATTCCAGAGTCTATTCAAGCACGCGTGAATGTTTCTTGAAAATTAGAAAGATTCTTTCTGACATTATTTTCACTTGAAGGAATAGAACCCTTGCCATGAATTTTAATGTCAAGCTAGAGAATTTCTAATAAAAATAAATTGGGAATCAGGGATGGATGTTGTGCAACGGGGAGAAAAATCCAGCAACCAACACGAACAACATTTAACACTGTTTAGGCTAGTGTCCTCTTTTCTTGCCTTCGGATCCTTAACAGTCTTTTAATTTTTTTAATCTCCAAAGGACTTTAGACTTCCATTATTTTTTGTAAAGTGTTCGTCTTTTGACCGAAACCTACTAAAAAATCTTCTCTTTTTTATAAAACTTTACTTCTTAACGAGCTGGAAAAATTCAAAATGGACTTGGGTTTTCATTTAAAAAAAAAACAAAATAACCTACAGAAAAATGTGTAATTCACTCAAGATGTAGGAAAGTTTGTGCTAAGCAATTTTTTTTGTCTGGCATAAAACATTTCTAACAGTTTGTGACATGGGATGAGATCCGTCGCCAAAACCGGGCCCTTGCCAAAGATACAGTTGCTCCCCGGTTTAAAGACCGCCAGTCCGTAAACCGGACAGATTTTCAGAAATTGAGATGGTCCGTAAACCAAAAATCTATCAGCCGGGGATTTTTAAACTGGGGGTCGACTGTATCTTCTTCATTGCTAAAATGTATTTTCAAGAAACTTTTCCTTTTTGGTGAAATTTTTATTCAGCACAAGTTGGATTTTCCCTATTTTTCTACCATGCACAGAATCAGGATAAAATCTCTACATGAGAGAGTGTAGGGGAAAAGAAGTTGGGTAAAACTATAGCTCATTTTATAGCGTGATCCCTCCAAAAAAAACTGGTGAGTCCCCGAAAATATGTGTCATGATGAGGATCATTGTACATTACATTACCAGAATTTTACTACCGTATATTTGAAATCTTAAAAAAAACAAGAACTGTCTTGTCCAGTTATTAATTCAGTACAATGCAGAGTTTTTTCTAAATTTAAAAAAGTTTGAGTCATTGGCAGCTAAGATGGGCATGAATTTTTCGAGCAAAGATCTAAAAATTTAGAGAGCATCACGCAAAACAGGATTAGAGACTTTGAAAAAATTCGCCCATTTAAAAGCGGACATATGTAAGAGACTTGACTAGATAAAAATTCAAATTCAGACCTAAAATTGAATCTGGATTCGTTTGCTATCCAATGTTTTCTGTTTGAAATTTGTATGTGTCATGTCGGGGATGAAAAATTTATTTATAGAGTACAGTACTGCACAAACTTTTTGAATTTAAATCTTGAGGGTGAAAAGTGGGTGCTTGTCCTCCTACGTGGGGATGAGTTTTGCCAAAACATTTGAAGATGAAAATCGGACTGCGTCGGTTTTGCGGAAGTAAATACGGTCTTTACTCGAGAAAACTTCGCGGTATATAGCCAACATTTACCGACAAGAACCGCATCGTCTATGTAACTCCTTTTATTCCGGAAATGAAATGAATTAAGGCGCTCACAAGTTCGATCATTGGATCTTACGCACAGTGCAACGCATTAGGAACTCACTTTTCATCCTGTAAGATTCGTCTGACGGCGGAAACTATATCATCAACTGTTAGCAATCCCCAGTGCAATACTACCCCTGCTGAGTCGACCCCCGTCACCTTGGCCATATTCGTGTGCTGATCAGCTGCAATGGGCAAGCCGATCACAGGAACCCCGTGATAAGTAGCTTCTTGGGTACTCAGCATTCCACCATGGGTCATAAATCCTCTGATGTTCTTGTGACCTGTCGGATTCAGTGTAAAGAATGAGAGAGACTCAACTCATGCTAACTTTGTTCCATTAAAAATACGAGGGACTCTGAATTTGCCTGAAAATTCCAAGGGGGGGCGTCAATATGTCACCAAGATGAAGTACAGTGAAATCTCGTTTCAACGAAGCCATTGGGACCAATAAAACAGCTTTATTGTCAAGTATAATTTTTTGTAAAGTAATTCATTTAAGATTGAAGCTATTGGGCGGGGAGCAGAAAAAATGACTTTGTTGTGAGAAATTATTCGGTATAATGAGATTCGTTGTAACGAAATCTCTCAAAAATACGAGGGACTCTGTATTTGCATCGAAATTCTTAAGAGGGTTGAATATGACACCAAGACAAAGTGCTGTAAAATCTCGTTAAATCGAAGCAGATGAGGCAATTAAAATAGCCTTATTGCAAAGAAAAATTCGCTGTAAAGGAACTTCTTTAACATTGTGGAAGGAAACTGAAAAAACTTCGTTGTTAATGACTCTTCCTCGTAACGAGATTTGAATGTACAGTAGCATTTCGTTTATAACGAATTGATGCTTACAACGAATTGGTCAATTCAGTCCCTGTCCAGCATTTTATTTTAATCTCGTTTCATCGAATCTTCATTTGTAATGAAGCCTTTTCAAGCTCCCAAACGCTTCGTTATAACGATATTCTACTGTATCATCACGTTTAAATTTAAGGTAAAGTATAGTTCGCAGATTTGATTCCATTTCTCATTCACATCTGACGTATGAACAAAATTCCTAAATTTTTCCGGTATTAAAAGGAGAAAATCAGACATGGTTGCGAGAAACAATTCCTGAATTCAGGGTGATGATCATATGCATTTCCGGTCGAAAAATCAATGCCACAGAGTGACTCAAAAATCGACACAAAAAACCCTCTGGCAAAAATATGAAAATATACTTCATAGCTTTATTCAAGGGTTTTTTTTTTAAATCAATCGCGACGACGTGATTTCACAACTGCTGGGAAGTAAGCTAGAAAGAAATGAAATCACATGCTTACCCAACAGGTCTTGCTGAGGAAGCCATTTCGCCAATTTCACATTGTCTGACAATCCTGACATGGAACCGTGGTCCCATTTCCACAGGAAATGTATTTCAGGGAACCTGATCCGGACAAACAAACAGACAAGAAAGCGAGTTAATAAAAACGTGGTAAAAAAATACGAGGGACTCTGAATATGCCAAAAAATTCCAAGGGAGGGGCTCCAATATGTCACCGATATAAAGTACAGTGAAATCTTGTTTCAAGGAAGCCATTGGGACCAGTAAAAAAGCTTTATTATCAGGTATAATTTGTTGTAAAGTAACTCATTTAAGATTGAAGCTATTGGGCGGGGAGCAGAAAAAATGACTTCGTTGTGAGAAATTATTCGGTATAATGAGATTCGTTGTAACGAAATCTCTCGAAAATACGAGGGACTCTGTATTTGCATCAAAATCCTAAAGAGGGTTGAATATGACACCAAGACAAAGCTGTAAAATCTCGTTTGGTCGAAGCAGATGAGACAATTAAAATAGCCTTGTTGCAAAAAAAAAATTCGCTGTAAATGAACTTCTTCAACATTGTGGAAGGAAACTGAAAAAAACTTCGTTGTTAATGACTCTTCCTCGTAACGAGATTTGAATGTACAGTAGCATTTCGTTTATAACGAATTGATGCTTACAACGAATTTGTCAATTCAGTCCCTGTCCAGCATTTTATTTTAATCTCGTTTCAACGAATCTTTATTTGTAATGAAGCCTTTTCAAGCTCCCAAACGCTTCGTTATAACGATATTCTACTGTATTACCATGTTTAAATTTAAGATAAAGTATAGTTCGCAGATTTGATTTCATTTCTCATTCACATCTACAAAATTCCTGAATTTTACCGGTATTAAAAGGAGAACATCGGACATGGTTGCGAAAAAGATTTCCTGAATTCAGGGTGATGATCATATGCATTTTCGGTCGAAGAATCAATGCCACAGAGTGACTCAAAAATCGACACAAAAAACCCTCTGGCAAAAATATGAAAATATACTTCATAGCTTCATTCAAGGGTTTTTTTTTTAAATCAATCGCGACGACGTGATTTCACAACTGCTGGGAAGTAAGCTAGAGAGAAATGAAATCACATGCTTACCCAACAGGTCTTGCTGAGGAAGCCATTTCGCCAATTTCACATTGTCTGACAATCCTGACATGGAACCGTGGTCCCATTTCCACAGGAAATGTATTTCAGGGAACCTTTTGAAAGCTTCAACGAACATTTCACGAGCATCTTCCGGAAAATTTTCGCTTTTCAGGGCGCTTCCGAGGGCAAATAAAATGAATCCTTCAGTTTTCGAATCCGCCCAATCCCTGAGCTCCTGTATAGAAATTAACCCAGAATTCTCGTATCATTAAATTTTACTTTTCTCAGCAAGAGAATGTTCAAGCTATGGAATAACTGATGAAAAAAATTGAAAATCGTTTCGGTAATCACTTTCGGAAGTTCCTTCGCTGGTCTGCAATGAGCTCCCCCGATGTCGATGATGTCAGCAACCCGGGGTTCTTGGTGAGTAAAAACCCTGAGGTCTTCGTTATTGAATGAAATCACAGAAGTGCTTTCGAGATCTGCCAAATTTGGCACATCTGAGTCCCAGCCTTCGATTAAAGCCTTTCGCACTCTCGGATACGACCACAAATGTCGAAAGTTCATGACGAATATGTAGGTGATTTGACTAACTGCTTGCTGGAAGTACGTCATCTCAGTCGACCAGGTTGTCATTGCTGACGGTCTAGAAAAAATGGATACCGACATAAATATTCTGTATTATAACTCGAAGAAATTGATGGAAATTAAAAAAAAAGCATCGGCGGCCAACTTTGGAGGTACAGTGAATTAAAATTCGAAAATTTGCGTTTGAAATGTCGGTTTCATACGAAAATAGTTTGTTTCAATTTTATTCACTTAGTACTTTAAACTGCAGTAGGAAAGTTTGAAATTATCAGATCAGTCTAGCTAAGTATTTTTTTATCACGTCCTGCGATCTATTTAAAAATCCCCCTCATGATTTCACCAGCATGATTGATGGGATTTTTATTTTCGATCAATTCAACGTCGATTACCTTACACGCATCCGCGTCATTGTGCAGTTTATGATTTTCTATAATATCTTCAGAGTTTTATTTTAAACTAATTTATCAAGAAATTGACGACCTGAAAAAATTTATGATTTGCGAGTGGTATCGAAGATTCATAAAGAGAAACTTCATGCTTCGAAAGAACAAGAAAAAAGGCGCGAAAGAAGGTTGGAACATATTCAAATTGACAGAATAAGTTCGAAAATGATTCAAAGACAATAATACTGTACTGCAAAAGTATATTTTAATACTATATACTGAACCAATGTTCCAACGGTTGGTCAGTAAACTCAGTATACAGTACCTTTTTTTTCTTAAATGCAGAATTCAGGCACAAAGTTATTTTTTTCAATCAAAGCAGATTGATGATCAATCACTGAGATGTAGGTAGCAGCTTTTGAAAATAAAATGGAAGATGTCAACGCCGAAATCTTCTAAAAGCTTTAAAATACCGATACACCTGTTTTAAATCTTGAAGGCGCACAGGGTTTTTTTAATGGATTTCCCTACTGTGGATTAATTTCCTGGGATAATCCGAGGTTGATCAAGTATTCCATCCCAACCTTAGCTCATAAAATCGAATGCGTCCTAGTTCTACTTCATGTGATCGATTATACCTCGTCAAATCGCTATTATGCGCCCCACATTCTCGACAAAACCACTTAAACTCCTGGAAGCCCGGATTTTGATGCCAATCAGAAACATGGATTTTATAGCTTACTAGCTGACGATTGAGAAATGGAGTCTTTGCCTAACCGCAATATTCTCCAACTTTAATGAAACTCAAGTTCGAGAAAATTTGATGATATGGTGTGGCCTTATATTGGCTAATTATAAATGTTTTCGTGACCCTCGGTAGGATGACGATCAAAGCGGTTTTTGGTTGCGACAAAATCTAGCAGTCAAAATATGTAAATAATGTGGCAGGCTTTTCCAAAATTCAGCGTATGTACATGCAGTTGTTTTTCTTAAAGATTTTTCATCATTTATTTTAGCTTGTGATGAACCCTTGAAACGTCCCAGGTTCAGTTGAAAATAAAATAAGTAGCCATTACGCACTGGCTACTTTGATAATCACTAATGAATACTTTGATGATGGGGCATGCTTTGATAATGAAAAAGCCGTTTCATCGCCAAAATATTTCAGATTATTTGTCGAATTGAATTTCATAGCATATTTTTCTTACCGGCATTTGATTTTGCTGAACATAGTGAACAGGTGAATCTGGTGATCAGCGGGTATACTGTACTGTACAGTATTTCAATCTCCGCACAAACAACAATTGTAGCATGATCTAGTCGAAGAGGTAAGATCACAAAACAAATCACTTTGCTTTTTTTTTCTAGATGTCGCTAGATTCCCAAAGATGCACCCGCGCCACAGCGGCTATGTATATACGCGTCCACAAACCCATTACGGGCCATGGTGTTTTTTTACGTCACCTCATGTCTTAACTTCTTATACAGTACTTCTTAACGTCTTTATTTATTCATAATTGAAAGAGACTTACTTGTAGCTACCGAGCCCAGGATTCCCGAAGGCATGTCCAACCCACGGCATCAACATGCTGCTGAAAATGTGCCCCCAAGGTTTGCCGGCACGTCGGGCTTTATGAGCGAATGCCAAGGCGCAGTCGTCGACAATATGTGGACTTATCAGGACCAGGTCGTACTCTTCGTCAGGTTTGTTCAAGTATTCCCGGAAAACGTCATCTTGCAAAAGCCTTTCACACACCCGCGGAGCGTGACTCAAATACCAGAGAAACACGATCGTCCCGGCGACGTAATTGTAGCTCGGCATTTCGTTCAAATGATACCAAAATAATTCGTCGGAAAGTTGCTTGAATGCCGGGGACGTTATCTGCTGGATGTTTGGCGTTTTCACGTGTGCACTGGCTTTTTGTGGCACTAGCAGGTCGACGTGGTGGCACCTTTGTGCCAAACCTGCAGCAAATTCCGAGTACACGAACACGTGGCTCAGAGTGGAAACCGGAGCGACGATGAGGATTTTGGCGCATGGAGTTTGACCAACGTCGCCGTGCCATTCCGATTCGGCAAAGCCTCGACATAATCGGAACGAAATTAAGGAAACAATAATTGTTCCCACTGGGGCTTTCATCTTTCTCTGTTGGAAGATTTGTTCGACAGATAAATTACCCTGTGAATCGTGGGATTTGACAGAATGACGCGGGAGAAACAAAG